TAAGAGGCAGTAGACAGGCTAAAATTGTGCCAGGGTTACCTCTGGCAGTGCAGTGTTCTGACCAGAATGAGACCTGTTTCCACAGTACAAGTGAAATAAATAGTATCTAGTAATATTCAAACCACCATGTTGTCGTACAATTTGCTCCAGTTTTCCCATATCTAGAAATTAGCTGATTGAGATCGCTCCGTGCCTTCAAAATTTAGAACTTGGGAGGAAGACTAGGAAACCAAGGAAAAGATGGTGGTAGGAACTTTGCAGAAATACACTGACGGCCGCCCCACATGCTGACGCTATCACAGGGACTTCACACATGGTGCTCAGTAAAGACTCTCAAGGCCTCTTGAGTTCAGTGCTATCCTTCCCAAGCCACAAAGGAGAAAAGTGAGGTGCAGAGAGGGGCACAAAACTGTTTACATGAGAAACTATGATTTGAACACAGGTAGGACTGGAGATAGATCTGGGTACCGACTTGGTTTCCACTACTAGCTGGGTGCTATTGGCCAGGCTATTCCACTTTTGTAAGCCTCAGTTTCCTCATCTGTAAAATGGGAATGAAAAGATCTAGTCCCTCCATTTTTGTGTGAGGAGAGTGTTTACAAGGTGTTTGGTATACTAGCTTCTGCACAGCCCGTATCTACCAGCAAGGGACAGGCAAAAGACCTTTTTGACTAAGATGCCATCTTTTAGCCTCACCAAATAGGAAGGCACCGCTGTTGGTGAATTCAGCAATGCAAGACAGGACTGGGACTGGCCAATCGTCCCTCCCCCCACCCCACCCTGCTATGTCCTCAGTAGGAATAAAATGCCAATGGGAAGGACCTGGGCATGACAGCAACCCAGTTTGACATTTATTGAGTTATTTATTGATTGCCTATCGTGAACAAGAACCATGTCAGAAACTATAGTAAGCAAGCCACAGAGACACAGCCCACCAACAAAGAGCTCCAAGCCCCCTAAGGAGAATAACCACACCCAGCACCCCATCTGCCATCTATGGCACAAGGTTGGTTGTAGGGGAGAGGCGGCGACTCAGTGTAGGAGCCATGAAATTCACAGTCATGGTCTCCTGCACAGCTCAGGCAATCAGTCTGTCACCCCTCCAGACATGTTGCCTTTAGGATTATCCAGAGTTTGGCCATGATAGGCTTCCCATCACAGAGCTTGGTGAAGTCAAACCAGAGCCCAATGTATAGGTCATGTCCTAGACATGACCAAGCACCATCTCTATCTTAAGGATTCAGCAGAACAGAGCTGCTGTGGAGAAGACATCAAGCACTGAGAAAGAGTCATATGTCAGATCTGTGGGAAATTCACAAGTCAGTCCTACTTGGTAAAGGCTGGGGTCATATACAATGGCCACATGTTTTTTTTTAGAAGGCAAAGAAAGCTAAAGAACTAGAGATAAATACTGGAGCTTCCTGAGATTAGATTTTAGGCAAAAAACAAGGACAAAAAGTTGTGATTTTCTATGTTGTGCCTGAATTTTAGAAGTTTAAAAAAAAGAACTTTCACAAAATCTTAGCCACACAACCACTGACAGCAGTCAGCTGTGGACACGATAACGCTGTGTAATAAAAGACCACAGTCGGCCCTC